CCTCTTCTTATTTCTTTAATCAACGATCAAATACTATTTTTATATTCACACACTCAAGACAGAAATTACGTCATGGAAGCCATCTTGAGACACCTCGTTTGTCTAGGGTGTTCATATAAGTTTCTGGAAATTCTGGACAAGTGAGCTCTGAAATCCGGATAAAATCCGAACTTTGTCGAAAAATAAATTTGAATAAATTTATTTATGTAAAGCATCTAACTAGACAATACATGACAGTGAGAGGTGTTATCTGTCAATTTATTAAATTTTCTGTCATTGTTTGAATGTCATCTGACGTGCACACTTTACTTTAAAGGAGAAATTAAAGGTAATTGAAGAAATGTTAAGTATTCTCTTTTGCCTTTGTGAGCGGTACTAAGATTTAGGCAAAACTAAATATTGCACGTTATACTTCCAAACCAATTTACCCGTTGTATATACTATAATTAGCAAAGTCTGTCCAACTAGCCATGGAAGATTTCGACATTAAAAAAATGACAGAAAATACAATTGACTTGTGAATTAAAATGACAGGCACAACTCTTACTGTCGTGGATCGTTGTATAGACCTGTATTCATAAAGCGCACGTTTATTTTACAACTAGTTTTATGCAACGTCTATAAATCATGAAAGTCATTGTTTCTGAAATGAAAAAAGTATATCATTATATTAAACAAACTTTTTTACTTCGTAACTATTTATTGGAAAAGCCAATAAACAACACCAAATGGCATAAAATAAAATAAATATTCCTATGACTATACCAAGAAAAACACCAATATAAAATTAAAATAAACATTTCAATTTAAAAAAATACGCTAAAAATCTACAAAAATAATTATCAACAAAAAAAAAAGAAATACATAAGCTTAAGTTTTGAACTCGGGTTAGCGTCTCGTACCATCGCCAGTCTTTGTTTTTCTAATAATACTGAAAATGTTAGTATAATGACTAGAACAGCTTAAAATAAACAAGAGATTCTTAAATATTACACTTATATGCGAATATTAAGCTTAATTAATGTGTATAATACAAAAATACACCTAAATTGTTTGTTTTGCCGTACGTATTAAATTACTTAATTATTAAATTTTCATGGAAACTAAAATATCTAAATCAATAACACAACTACCTTAGCTATATAGAAGCGACAGTACAGTCGGCTCCTTTGAAGTATGTGTTCCTAATTTTTGACCTTGAGGTCACATATTTTGACAATAATAAGTCTTACTTGTACGCTGAATAAAATGTTTAATAAAAGCAATTTATAAATACATTGAGAAAAATTATTTCTTTATAATACTATAGCTCTTAAAATATTGTGAATTTTTTGGTCTAGAAACGATTGACGTTAATTCACAAATAAATGAATGTTATCATTGTAAAAATGAGTCTCTCTAGTTAGACATTCTAAAAATATTTGTGAAGCTAGGTTAGCTCAAAACGTGTCGTGTTAGCTTCTTTGGCGATACATAGAGGCCAAGATAGCATAACCTCAAATACACTATCTAATGTATATTTTCGTGTTTTTTAAATATTAAAATAGGTTTCTCCAAACATCACTTAAATAACATTTTAGAGAATACCCATCTGGTCATCGAAACTGCGTGGTCTTGATTTTAAAGTGTAAGACAGTGATGTCGACAGCTTAATGAAAAATAAATGTATTAAAAAGAGATAAAAGTTAGGTTGATACATTTCTTCTATGCGATATTGCCGGATTTTTCCAAAATTTCAAACCTCACAAGTAGGCGTTTACGAAAAATGGTGCATCTAGGGTTGGAACTTTATTTTTCACAATTAGTTACTCATTTTACTACAGCTGTAATAGATTAAATTTAGCTTAGATGTATTATATTCAATTCAGTAGTATACATGAAAGTTTTTAAAATAGTTTATTTTTTTCTACACACATTTTCCTACAAACGTAAAAACCGGCAACACTGTATGCCGCTATTTATTTTGTCTCTCTGTCTGTCAACCGGTCATTTATATTTATCTCTGTCGTATGCATTAAAATACTAGTCTTAGAGCTAGCAACGTTTTCGAGAAAGTATTTTAAGACGTCTGCCTCTTTGATATATCTTTTACTATGCTCTCTGGAACAGCATGCGGCCCGTCTGGCTGCCGATACCCGTTGGGTTTACTACTGCGCATCGGAAGAAGATCCTATATTTTTTATTAATTTAGTCCTATAAATTCTAGTATTGAATATAAATCGAACATGTCTCCATAGCGCAGTGCGTAGACTTTTCGACCGCGAACCGATAATTCAGAGTTCGAATTCGGGTCAGGCCAAAGACTTTTTTATTTTATTTTCGTTTATATTCTGATAGTAAAGTATTAAATAATTCTGGTAATTAAAAAAAACAAATATTTAATACTTTACTATCAGAATATAAACGAAAATAAAATAAAAAAGTTTTTACCCTCACCCGGATTCGATCTCTCAATCATCGGTTCGTGGTCGGAAACTCTACGCACTGCGCTATGGAGACATGTTCGATTTATATTCAATACTAGAATTTATAGGACTAATAAAAATATAGGATCTTCTTTCAATGCGCAGTAGAGAACGCAACGTTTACGGGCAGCCAGACGGGCCGCATGCTGTTCTAGAGAGCATAGTAAAAGATATATCAAAGAGCCAGACGTCTTAAAATACTTGTTTTTCCGACGTTGCTAGCTCTCGTACTATACAGACCACACAGATGAAGTGACGGGCTAGTTTAATTTTGGTTTATTATATTTCCATATGGTAGGTTTTTAGTATTTTGTTTGAGAGATGTCGTAGGACTGAGGAGAACATAAGAAAAATTTTCAAATTTAGTTTCCATGAAAACGCAGCAATGTCCTTTATCACTATAAATTTTGAAAGATTTTGAAAGATATGTCTAATATATAATTTAAAAGCTAATATATATGAGAAATAAATTTTATATGTTAGAGAATGACAACACTCACTCTTGGGTTAATTCAGTTTTAGTTGGCTTGGAAATGACGATCGATGGCATTAACTACATAAAATGACAGCGATCTTTATTTCCAAGCCAACTCTGATGCACTTTTTTTTTCGAAATGTATCTTTATTATATCATTAGTAATTTTGATAATAAGTTAGAATAAGGCAATGTTCAAAAGAGGGAATAGTTTACATAGTAAAACATAAGCTAGACATGTAAAACTTGGTTAACATAAAAAATGCAATTAAAGGCATTATTAGTACAGCATTATCTAATTAAACAGGTCATTAGACAGAAACGCATACTCTAAATATAAAACTTATTAATCATAGGCCACATATAAAATTTACAAGACCTAATATAAGATGGCTATTGTCTTTATGTTTGTAACCAATCAATAGCATTTATCAAAATCACCCTCTTTATTTATTTAGCACCTTGAAAAATCAACTTTAATTAAACCTATCTATTACGTAGGCACTGAGAGAGGTTAGGTTTTTGTTATTTCTCGTTATCTTTTACATTTTAAACGAAAATCTACGCTTACAATATTAGTTTTGAATCTCTAAAGCTTAATTAATTTTAGTTGTAGCACCTAAGAAAATTTTAGAAAATGATTTAAGGTTAGAAATACTTTTGAGGCACTAATAGTAACGTTATCGTAAAGCAACCAACTAATCACAACTTCGCGAAGCATTTAAAGCGAAAATAATACAATATTTAAGTACAACCAATGTTGCAATTTTAGATAGTATCTGCCTTTGGCACAACACACTGAATTATAATTATAATCACTGGATTTAATTTAAACTGATTTATAATAGATTGATGATATTCAGGATTTAAATGATTAAAAAAATTGTAAGGTTATTGCTTTTTAGAAAACATTTTTTTTGTAAACAATTTTTCAATTTAGGGTTTGGCCATTATATGGAAAAATCAAATCGATTTTTTACAAAAAAAAACTTCATTAAACATGTTCCTTCGTTTTCAAAAATACCTTCGGAATTTTTTCATTTACACCCTTTATAATTATTCACAAAAATTTGGAAAAATGCTTAAAACACTTTTTTTATATGATTTTCTTACTATATTAATTCTGCACTAATTTTTTTCGTCAATATACTGATTGACAAATCATTATGTAGGTATAAAGACCTATAATTAATTATAATTTTTAAAAACAATTCAAATCAAAATTATAGTATAGATATAAATATATACATACAATATGATCGAAAAAAACGGTGTCAGCGATGGCTATGAAGCGAAGATCGCTGTCATTTTCTATGTCAATTTGTAATGAAAATGTCATTAATCGTCATTTCCAAGCCAACTAGACGGTGTTTTTTTTTCGATCATACGGTACGTTTACCCACACTTAAGAACGTGGAAAGATTTTAAAAATATTTGTTCCAAAAAAGAATACATTTAAAAATCACACATAATATAAAAATTGAATAATAAATTTTGGTTGTAAATGGAATGTGTCCTTAAATACTTTTTTATAAATAGTTAAATGCCATAAGTATATTTACGCACACAATATAATTGTTACATTAATTTTATATAATGAATATATCAAGCCTTGTTTCCACAGATGATAACTTACTATAATAATATAAAACTATTGACTAACGTAAAACAGCTTCTAAAACCAAAAATTAATTCTCAGAATATTAATTTATTATCACACGCATTATTTGTATACTCTGTACAACCATCATTCAACTCTTAACAGATATCGATTAGTTCAAAATTAAAAATCGGTTGTGCTGTCAAACAAAATTTAAATCCGTTGCCAAACATATTTGACAACGTTAAGTTGGAACGCACTCAACTAGTAACTTCCGAACGCAGTTTAAATTTTTTAACCAATATGAACTGATCTCAGATATACCCTAAAACGGATATTAGATAAATAATAACGAAGTAAAGTTGTACGACGACTGTACATGCTTTAAGAACTTTCAATACTTACTCAAAAAACCATGATTAACTGAAATTATTATGTATAAAGTTAGAGTCAATTCATAAAGAAAGTAAAGCTGAATACAAAATTCAACTTCATGACTTGAATTTTAACTATATTGAGTGCGTAAATCAAAATTTCCTTTATAAAATAACCAATTCCTTAGAGAAAATACTGTTTGTTTTTAATTAGGCGGTGGGAACAGAATCAGTAGCACCACAGTGCCGAGAAACACTGACAGAAGCACAAGTGAGACTGCGGTATCCCACATCGTAGGAGGCCCCCTCACTTTGCTAACGTTAATTTTATCGAGCTTCGATTCTTCTGCAGTATATTTCTTAGCCAATCGTTGTTGTTCTTCTATTCTACACAGATCTTCGACTGTGTCGACCAAACGAGACAGTCCTCTGCCGTTTAGGCCCTCGGTGACGTCAAGGGTGGTGCACAGGAACGCCTGCAACCAACCACAGTCTCACTCTTACTGTCTGTCAGTGTTTTTGGCAGGAGTAACGCTAAAAAGACAGTTCCATAACGTGTTATGAATGGAGAGAGAGAAGTGGAAGAGATAGTTAATAAGTCTAATACTAAGATAGAACTTTTTAAAAGAGTAAGATTTACATGGAAGAAAGTGAACATGTACAATTCAGTTGATATATTATTTATTAAACTATTTTATAGTATACATTACGTTATAACTTCTTTAAATGCTGGACTTAATATAGTGTTTGCATTATGAAAACTACTAGGGTCTCTAGTCTAGGGCTCTATAAGTTTAAACATGACACTACATGAGAAGTTGTGATATTTTATGTAACAATGCCTAATCATTATGAATCTGATTTCTTTTTTTAACAGTTTTGCTGTCATATATGCTTATTAAATAATTTTGGATGTATTTCAATCACTCATGATTTTTTGCGTCAACGTACTGTATCAAATAAAAACAACGTTACAGTAGGTGCAAATATTACCATTTCTGTTCGCGCTTTAGTATGTTTATAGTCGAAGTTTTTAACAGTGTCAAATGATCTCGTGAGTTATTAGAACTTCTTGTTAAACTACAGAACAACTTTGCTATACAGAAGCGACAGTAAGCATAGGCTCCTTTGAAGTGTCCCAAATTTTTTGACCTTGAAAATATACCGGGTGCGTCTCAAAAGTGACTCACCCCTATAACTTTTTTATTTTTTCAGATAAAAAAACGAGATTTAGTACGTTAGTATATGACATAAATTAGGATTGATTGACGTATTCAATTGTTTTCGGTCACTTCCTGTTTCACCGGAAATGACTACAACTCCTGGTTTTTAAATGAAGACCCCTCGGTATTTTTTTACTTTATTCAATAGAAAATTGCAGGTCTTCTTCATTCATTCAGACATTCTGAATAGAATGACATATCATATGTCAACTTTTAACATATTCGCTTTAAAAACATTGTATTTTAAATTTCAATCTTGTGTGTCTCCTAGATAAAAAATTAGTGCCAACACTATTTTTTTATGAAGGAGTGCCGAGGAACACTGATTAAGGAGCCTTAGAAAAATATATTTGATCGTGTAATCTTTTTAGTGTCTTGTTCAGGTCAGTTAAAAGATGACCAAATCGTATTTTTAATCATATCTCGATTTTTCCTTAGAACGAGGGTGGATCATTAGCATATTTGGAAAAAGCATTTTTTTACGAATAATTTTATACCACACAATTTGTATTTGTAGTCAAATTGTCGTTATGAACCGCATGTTACAATTTCAAATAAACCATATGCGAAAATGTCAAAAGTTGACATATGATATGTCATTCTATTCAGTGTCATTTTCTATCGAACAAAGTCAAAAAAATACCGAGGATGCCATTTAAAAATATTTAATAAAAATTTCAAATGAATCACAGAGAGATGTCATTGTTCATCTCAAGTAATAATAAACATAGTAAAGCTTCAACAGATATGAGAATTCCGCACCCATTATGACATCTTTTTAATTCAGTCACAAGGCATATCGTCAAAAAAGTCTACTATGGGTATTTTGCCACCCTAAAAAAATCTACAAAATAAAATAGTTATTTTTTGTAAACAGTGCTACGTTAATACAAAAAATAATTATATTATTTTGTAGATTTTCTTACAGTCGCAAAATACCCATAGGACTTTTTCGAAGAGATGAATCCGCCACAGAGGTCCAAAAAAGTCCTTTTATTTTCAATTTTCTTCGGTACACAATATACTAAATATATTAACTGTTTAAATTTATGATATATAACAAAAACTATGGTTTTTCGAACTCCAAATCATCTATTACTATTATTTTTACCGATAAGATCTTTGTAACTGAAGATAAATCAGAGGAAAAGAATGATTAAAACAATGTAATTATAAGTAATGTTCTTAATTTACTTAGGTTAGTGTAAGGCATGAAGCGAAAAATTGTTATTAGTCAAAAATAGTTGGTTAGTCATGCAGGATAAAACTCATATATGTATATGAAATATCTTTAAAGCGTCCACCTACTAACACTAACACAGACCGTCAATAAGAGTAAATTCATAATAAAATATCAGAAAATAATTCATAAAATGTATAAAAATAAAGCAGACAAAACAAAAAGTACTAAAATATCTTTAAAATTCAAAATAATTGAGTCTAATAGAGTAAATTTAGTCTACACTATCATGCATGTTAGTGTTCAATATATTATGTATCTATTGAAAACTGACATAATGCTTAAAAAATATCTATATTTTTTTTCTAAAATCTAATAAAATAAATTGTACTTTTTTAAAAATTAAGTCGTATTTTTGACAAATTTAATCAAAATAATGCACACTAATAAAATTTAAACATCGCTTTAACAAAAATTATAACACATTAAACACTTAAAGTGCTGACTTACCTCATCTACACCAATCTTGCGACAAGCTTCGATAAAATTATCTACATTCCTTCGACACCTGGCCATTGTTAATTTAGGCTAGAAAAAGAAAATTACATTAATATAGCATACTTTCGAAAATATGAAATTACTTACAACTGCTGGGGAAGGAACGTGTATGCTCGCCACCGATCTAGGCTTAATATGATTGGCCAAATGACATAACACGACGCCATCTGTCAACGCTGAAGCTAGGTCCTCTGGAAGCGCCATCTTCAGTCTGGTTTCGATAATCTAATCAAATAAAAATAAGGTTAAGCTCTGTTACTTCGTTGTCGTTAATGTTAGTCAAACATTAATGGTTTTAATAGACACGTCTATGCAGAATTTGAAGAACAGACTTACGTTTCTTAGTTGGTTGATGAGATCAGTTTCTTCTCTCGCCTTGTCTATCTCTCTTCTCATCGTGAACGACATTTTTTCGTTAAGTATGGTGTCTTTGGTCCAGGTAATGGTCCGCGTTGTTTTTATACCATTCGATGTTTTAGGAGTTGTATTACTACCATTTACGTATCCACTTGGTGATAGTCTGGCACTAATATTGTTACCCTTACCTGTAATAATCAGATATCAACGAAAATTATTATTGTTATAGCCGGAACATTTGTAATATTTTACGGTAGTTCTTTGATATTACCATTAAAAATCCTTGTTATTATTTTGATTTCGAGAAATTAATAAAATTTATGTATTCTTAATTTTAAATTTTAAAATATCGTGTGGAGTGAAGACTACACATCCTGTAGTATAGGCCAAAAAAAAATGGAAATATTGTCATTAAGTAAGTCTAACCCCGTTTAGACTTACTAGTAAGTCTAACCTAGGTTAGACTTACTACTTCTAGTAAGTCCAATCCAGATCAGACTTCCCAAATCTTGTGATATTAAGGAATGTGTAAGGGTAACTTCAGAGATAGATTTTATTGGTCCAGGACTTGCTACAGGTATACCAAAGAGTACAATTTGAAGCTATAAAAAATTGGTTCTGAGATCAACAACACTAATGGGACACTAATAGTCAGCCAACCAGACGACAAAAAAGTTTAAAAACTTCTTTGCTCCAAGTAGAAATCGGGTGCTATCATATGACGACCTCCATTTGTGTCAGATGCGTCTATTCAATAAAAGCCTTCACTACAGACTATTCAACTAGCAGGAATTTTTAATAGCCAACCAGTGAAGAAGTAAAGAATAACCAGCAAAGGTTGATTTCGACAGACAACCTATTCTTTCATTGAATATAGGCTATAGTGCCATGATAGTGATGAACACTATACTATAGTGACATGATAAACATGATAGTCAAATACTAGAGAGGTTGTAATGGGTAAAAATTAAGCATAATAAACCTTAAGACTGCAGTGTTACGTGGAAGAGTGATCAAACGACTGTTTGGGTTAAAAAATATTATTAGACTGGAAGGGAAATCCCCCAAAGGTCTAAGACAGTTGAGATTTCTTAGGACTTCTTCGCGATCGAGAAAAATCAAAGATTTTCCTTGAATTAAGTAAAAACAATCTTCGGATTGTTACAGGTTTTTAACAGGACACTGTCTCCCTCAATGGACGTCTCAGTACAATGAAGCTAAGAAGCAACGGCGAATACAGATTCAGTGGGGAAAATGAGGAAACACCTTATCACTGAGTGCGCCGAGACGACAACCATTGGTGCCATAAATTTTGGTAGGGCTGATATCGGAGATGGAGAACTAACCTCTATTAATCCGTCTCAGAGACTGGCTTTAGTCAAAGCCCTGAGACTGTATGATGAGATACAAATCCTCAACTTACCATTGACTATAGGAGTTAGATTACTAACAGGCACATTGTCATGCGACAGTATCCCCGTCGATCCTTTAGTAGGCGACTTTGGCTTGACGTAGTCCTGAATCAGTCTTGGTTTCCCTTCCACACCGTTGTTCCCGTTCATATAAAGGTGCGTTGGAGAAAAACTCGTGTTCCTCGATGGTGTAACCTTCTGCACCGGCTTCTTCGTGGTCGACGTGTCGTCGAATATGTGCTTGGGGCTGCTGAAGGCCGAGTTCAAGGGCGTGGGGTCCGACTTGGACGTGGCCATGGTCTGATGCGAGAGAGCCGGTTGGTGGGTGGGCGTGTTTGGTTCGGTTTTGTAGCTTTGGTCGTCGGAGTCTTTTGTACGGTATATCGAAGGCACGTCTTGCGCGCGTTGCTGTTTTAACGCTTCTTTGTATTCTCTAAAAAAAGTTAAAAAAGGAGCGTTATAATCAAATTAAATATCGAAAAGACTTTTCTCATAATTTAATACATGTTCAACTTTATTTAACTCTCTGGTTATACCACTACTTTAGGGAACTACATTCTAAAATATGTCCAAAGAGTCAGAAAATATTTAGACAGATTAAAATACGAATAGGTTTCTTTTACTTAAATTGTATTAAGTCGGATCAACTTTTACTAATACCAATTAATTTTTATTTAATTTTTTATAAAAGACTTTTGACATTAAGATTTTTGACAGATTGTGCTTGTGATTTTAACAGTTTGTACGTAGCCAAGCCGGGAAAAGGTTCGTGATGACTATTTTATTTAACTATTTTTTTAAGCTGGTTAACATTTATATGTAATCACTATCTGTAGTACATGTGGTTAATTTTAAAGAAGAAAGATTTCATGATCAAAAAATTACTTTAAACTTAACAAGAATCACAATGAAATGAATGTCTGACAATAACTTTCTAAAAAAGCGAATAAAAAAAATACATCAATATCGTGCAAAATCCCGTATCATCGAAAAAAAAACGGCGTCAAAGACGGCTGGGAATGACAATCGATGATAATTTTAGCGAGGTCATTCTCTAGACATCATTTACTAGCAATTCATTAAACTTGTCAAAAATTAACACTACTAATAATTACAGAGATAAAAAAGGAAAGAATTTTACCAGACATACAAATCTATTTCCAAAAAAATATTTTTCTCGAATTTTAAACTAGGTACACCATTTAAAAATCATTTTTACTCAACATAAAAATAAATTACGTTCTTAATTCCAACTGGCAATAAGCGGCTTTGAAAAGTAAAGAAGAGTATGGGACAAATAACGACTTCTAGGGCTTGACCTCGCCAAAATTATCATCGACTGTCATTCCCCAGCCGTCCTTGACGCCGTTTTTTTTTCGATCGTATGTTATCTTTACCTGTATGTCTGAATCTGTTGCAGAGGTTTCGTTTTGTCTTCAATTCCGTTTCCATTTGAATAATTATCGGCACACGGACTAAGGCGAACACTGGAAAGAAAAAATTAGCGCTATTTCAAAGCTAAACACATAAAAAACTAAAAAAAACACACTCAAGTCATCAGGCCAAAGAATCAAAAACCAACACATTACCTACTTCAACCTAATGATATTTTCATGTTGGATAAACGAAATTTGATATTGATATTGTTCAATGCGAATTTTCTCGACTTATGTTTATATCATGAAAAGACACACAAATTATTTGTGTGCCAATTCTTTAGGATCTGAATTTTGACACGATCTGGATCGATATGCAATATCAATATCATTAAAAGTTAAAAGTAACATGCATCGCTACTTCAACCTAGGTTTATTAAAAAAAAACACCATAAAGAAAGCAGAATCACCATCAATATCGCTAACAAGACTTATTTAGTCTTGCTCTTACAGCAAACATAAAACACCAATAATTTCTTTTATCTTTTAACACAGAAAATAAAAGCCACAAATTCACATTTTTATTTTACACTTAGTTTTACCTGGAATAATCTTTGATATTCTTTTGGCCGTCAAATCTGTCATAATCGCCGTTGCTCGATTTAACGTAGTCTTCGTCAGGTATCTCAGGTGGCGCTGGTGATATGGTCGAAGGCGTTGAAGTTGCCGATCTAGTAGCTAATTGGTCAATTGTCCTACCTAATATGGGAGTTGAAGGCCATGGTTTCTCGTCTCCTAGAATAGATAAATTATAATTATTCCAATCGCTTTAGTTTTAGTAAATTTGACGAAAGAATTAAAATAATTTTTATACTCTGTTTTACGACAAAAAGGCAGATGATTAATATTTTTTAAGTTAACTATGGATGGGTAATAATTTGTTTTAATATTGTCAAAAAGCTCCCTAAGAGTTACTTAAGCAATGAACTTATTATGTACTAAATTTACCTGTCATTTCCTGAGACCACCGCTTGTCGTACCCTACATCACTACTGGTACTGTATCCGCTGTCGACGTTGTGCCTTTTCTGTTTCAGTCTATTTGCCAGGTGGGGAGGTCCTGGTGATCCCGCACCGCCCTTTCTGGATCTCCTACCCAGCGTTCCCGTACCGCCTCCCGTTTTACTAATTATTTTCATCGCTTCAGTCTCCAGGTATTTGAATATGTGATACCTTTTTTACATTTTAGTAAACTGAAATAATGAACAATTATAGCAGCTTTTCAACAGTTCAGAACAAGCGCCCTCTATTAGATATTATGTAAATAGTCAACTATTTCTAGGTTTAGCGAAAAAAATTGAAAATTTTATATTAACTAATTATGAGAATATCAGAAATAAATGCAAGTATTTTAACTGGTAGTATAGTTCGATCCCAGAAACACGTCCATGAGGTTTTTTAGCGAAAAAAATTGAAAATTTTATATTTTTCTTGACATTTTCCTTTAAATATTGAAAAACTTTTGAGTGCCGCTTGTTCAGCTCCGGAAATTTGTTTATAGTGCTTCGAGAGAATGCAATGTTGCCACCTCCTACGTTATCCTCATTCTATATGTCTATAAGTTATAAGTTCACATTTTTAAATTTCTACAAAAAAATACATAAATTAATTTTATTCACTGTAGATTTTTTAATCATTGCAGATTATTATTAAGTATTGTGTAACGTTTACTATATTTTAAATACCTTTTTTACATTTTAGTAAACTGAAATAATGAACAATTATAGCAGCTTTTCAACAGTTCAGAACAAGCGCCCTCTATTAGATATTATGTAAATAGTCAACTAGTTTAACCTACATTTAAACAGACCAATTGATTGAATTTTTAGGTTATCCAATTCGTTTGAGATTTTACTCAAAACAGTAAATCTCTGACAAAACAAAAAAAAATAGGCAAATGTTACGTAAACCTCTAAATATACTTTTATTATTCGAATAGAAATATCAATTATTTTGGTGTTTATTCACAAAAACAATAGTGTGAGATAAAAAAACAGGGGAGTTTAAATTCTCAAAAAATAATCCTAAATAATTCAGATGGCATATGTATTTTGTGCTAAATATACGTATGCGTGTAGTGCTGTCAAGAATCGCAGTGAAATGTAGTGCTGTTAAGTGTACAGTTGCGGTTTTAGGTAAAGTGATAAAATGACGCTCTAAGCTAATTACATCGATTTGCTATCGTTTTCTAAAGTTATGTAAGTTTTTTACTTTTAACCTGAATTTTTCAAATCGTTTTTAAATCTTTCTAGTCAATATGTCAACACTGGGCGCCAAACAAGCTCAAATTCTGGTAATTGCTTGGTATTCGCGGCTGATTATCGATTGCTGCCGGCGGCTCTCAAAAGGTTGCCATTATTTTTTTAAAATTTCAAAGTTAAATAACTCTCTTGTAATATTAACTTGCAAATTCAAACATAAGCTGTCTAAATTTCCATGTCAAACGTGTGGCATACACATATTACAATGAAGTTATAAGCTGAGGCGCTTGTGAAACAAGTATACAGCTGCTTACAAACCAGCATACATGCCATAATTGTGATTTAACCACATACAGTATTGTCACCGGATTATCTTTACAAGAGGAAAAAGTAATATAATTTCGATATCATTCTTTGATAGATGGTTATTATTAATTGAGAGTAACGTCATATTTTTGCTGTTGTTAAAATATCACATTTTCTGATAACTATTGTCTCCCTTTCCGTAGCGTTGAATTAAATTAATATTGTCCTTTAACATTTTAAAACAGCAAAAATTATGACGTTAATTAAAATCTATCATTATATCAAATATCAAAGAATAAAAACGAAATTAAATTACCATAGAAACGCATTTTGATTTTTAGGACTTCTTTCAAAAACTTCTTTCAAATTTCAAAAATTCAACTGTATTTTCATGTTTTTCTTAATTTTCTCTAAATCGGTATAGAAATTTGCAAAAGTATAAAAGGGATCAATTGACTCCTTTCTTAGTATTTCCATTCAATTGGGTTTTGCAACTATTTTCAGTATTTTAATGTTTAAAAATTACTTACACTTGCCGGTGGACTGGTCAAAGGATTCTCGTCCACGTACAAATCGATTAACGTCTCCATTTCTCTCATTTCTATGGGCAAAGTGCCGATCCTGTTCGCTCTAAGGTCCAGCCTCATCAGTCTTAAATTCGTAATCTCTATAGGTACGGCCAAAAGTAGGTTGTTTCTCAACACCAGCGACTGCAACGATTTCAGTTCGCCCATCCTCGGTGGAAAATGGCTAATTTGGTTGCAGGAGGCGTCCAATTCCGTCAAATTGGACATTTTGCAGAGATCGTCCGGCAGGGAAGACAAACGGTTATTGGAAACTAACAAAATCTGAAAAAAAAAGAGAAAGACATTATAAAGATAAGTATAGTCATAGAAATTTTCAATAAATTATCCTCTCTAAGGATTTATTTTATTAAGTAGAAGTTGTTACATAAAAACAATTATTGGTATCTGGTAACAAATAAAATCAATAAAAAATAATCAACTTCTACATCCAAACTTTGACGTAATCTCCAAGTAATTAGATCAAAATAAAATCTATTCTAATATATAAAATCCTTAAGTGACTGACATACTGATTAATCACGATCCTGCTCAAAGCACTCAACGTAAGAAGCTCAATTTTGGCATACAGGTTGATTTTAGAGTGCAGAGGTTCGATAAGAAGGGATTTTTCGAAATCCCAGTTCCAAGGGGGTGAAACCACCCCTCAAATATTACAAGTTTCCGAAAAAACGCTTAAACACGTATATTTTATTTTGTTTTTTACATATTTTAAGATTTTTTAAAAATGTATACAGGGTGTTTCGAAAAATCTGGTCATTGATTAATCACGATCCTGCTTAAAGCGCTTGACGTAAAAAGCTGATTTTTGGAAAACAGATTGACTTTAGGGTGTAGAAACCGGTGAGTTTTTCTCTTAAAGAGAAAAACTCTTAAACACGTATATTTTATTTTGTTGTTTTACATATTTTAAGATTTTATATAAATTTATACAGGGTGTTTCATAAAATATGACCATTGAGTAATCACGATTCTGCTTAAACTGCTTGACGTTTAAAGCTGATTTTTGGCAAACGGATTGACTGTGGGGTGTAGAGGTTCGATAAGGAGAGGTTTCTCGAATCTCAAATTCCAAATGGGTGAAAACGCCCCTCCAATATTACAATATTTGTTATTTAAAAAACGGTTAGTCTTTCGGGAAAACGTTTGGACAAGCATAATTTATTTGGTTTTTTTAACATATTTTGAAATTTTTTAAAAAATCATACAGGGTGTTCCAAAAAGTTGGGTAACTTCTTAACCACGATTCTGCTTAAACTGCTTGACGTAAAAAGCTTATTTTTGGCAAACGGATTTTTCGAAAGTCAAATTCCAACGAGATGAAACTACCCCTCAAATATTACCAAGTTATATAATAATATCGCCATATTGTTTTTTCTCATGCTGACATAAATGTGAGAAAATTTTATCCAGTTTGTATGTTAATAGAAATTCTTGCTTTGCTTTATCATCACCATTACAAATGATTAATTCGACGCGAACGAAGTCGCTGGTACACGCAGGTACACGCTAGTATTATTATAATTATATTAAACAGATCTGAATGAAATCCACTAATTATTATATCAGGAAGCGTTGCAAGGTCGTGAAAAAAACCTTTTTGCATTTGGTTGAACACAAATGATAATAGTTCAAACGGATGTAATTTGAACTCGAACATTTTACTATGAATAATTTGAATAAAAAATAAGTACGTATATATAATTAATTAACAATTTAATAAACCTATTATTATTCTAAACATTTTAGATTGTTTAGGGAACTATAAATAATTGGCTATATTCTATATTCAAGTAATTAACAATTAATAATCAGTAAACAACTTAAAAATGCAAATAAGGTACCTACTATTAATAAAATGACCAACAAAATTACAAACCAAACCAAATCAGCCTTTTCTTACCATTATTAAAATAATTATAAAATATCAAAATATTACTGATTAAAAAAAAATGCGAATTTTATGGAATATCTAGAAAATATCAATAAGTTTTAATAAAAACATACTTTATCAAAAACCGCAAAATATCAGCATTGTAGGTTTTAAACTGTTGAAAAATATATACGGCCCAGTCCAGTGTTTCTAATTTTAGCAGTCGCTGCCACTAAATAAATTAATAGAATCGAAATACATGGAACAAATGTAAAGTTTATTCATATTTCAACAAACATGTCAAGGACAAGAGTTGACACAATCTGGTACTCTACTTTAAACGTCGGCATTTATTTAACAGTCAAAAAGTCCAAAGCTTTAACGTTATTTTATCCATTAATAATGTTTATTTTATTTAAAAGAAAAAAAATAATGATATGCAATAAATTATCTTTAAGTATGTATGTACTGTAGAGCAATTAAACTTAATGAAATAATTTATCGTTTAAATGAATATAAAAAGCATTACAAATCATTCAACAAACTCTTATAAATATTAATCTGGTTCATTGTTAAGGATGCAATTGAACATACGGTATATTATTCTTAAAAAGAGAAACCGTATAAGATCTACTGACAATTTTAGGTTAAGACTGTATTACAATATCACGCATCTCCATACGTTTATTCGAGTATAATCCTATTTAAAAAAGCGTGTCTTACAAGGCAAGTAACATAGAAATATTTATTGTTAACTATGTTTACTTAAGTATGCTAAGATCAACAATAATTGTTGCAATAATTTAGACTTTTTGTTATATCAATAGAAACAGTTCTTGATGAGAAACCCTATACAGGGTGGTCCGAACTGCAATCGGAAAACTTCAGCAACATATACTACAGATAAACATAAGTAAAAAAGTTCGTATAAAATTATGTCCCATAATGCTTCGTTTCGGAGATACAGGGTGTACAAGTTTCATTTATGTTTTTTTTCAAGTAGTTTCTAAACTAACGTGTTTTTGGACATGGGAAACTTGATTTCGATGTGGACTATCCCGTCAACATGTATAATTTTTGTCAATCATGACAAATATTGACTATTTTGATTAAGTAGTGTAGTGATATTATTTGTTTGAGTTTTAGTTTGTGCAATGTAAATTGCAAAGAACCGTTTAATAATATATTCTGTCTATTTATAAGTTATACATCATAACAGAATAAGAATACCATACCAACTAAGTGAAATTAGCCAAGAAAGATAAGAATTGGCAATAACTCAGTCATTTTTCGAAAAAAAACATATTATAGCTTATATCGTTGAAAAGCTTAAAAAATTGCGCCTTTTATGAAGTCATGGCCAACTATGATTTCCATTTAAAAAAACATATGTTTGTGTCGTATGTCAAAAATGACAGGCTTTAGAAAAAATCGAGGAACACAAACTCATTATAAATGTGATTATCTACAACTTTTATCTAAAAACTTTCTGTCTAAAATCGATTATAATGGAATAAGGGACAATTTTTAACATATCGGGCAAGCCCACAGTTACAGTAAGATTAGCCATTAGCCATGACTAAAACATGACTACCCGACCTACCCGTAGACACTCAGTGCTGCTGCCTTCCGGCTTCATCAATACGGGAAGGAAGGAAGAAACACTGAGTGTCTACGGGTAGCCATGTTTTAGTCATGTCTCATCATGGCTAATCTTACTGTAGGCTTGCCCGATAAATTCTTTCTTCTTTTTTATTACAATCCCCACGATAACATCTTTTGTTTATTGTGGCCAATGGCCATTTTTAATTTAAATTTTTTGCCTCTCCTCTAAGTAATATAAATAAATTAAATTGCGTCGTTGTTCCTCCAGAGCGGCGATATAAATTTCAAAAAAAAATCAAAACTAACCTGTATAGGAAGCTGACATAATTCTCTTGGCAATGCGGCGAGCTGATTCCGACTCAAATCCAAATAACTCAAACATTGTAAACTACTTATAGAATCGGGTATGAAGCGTATAGCGTTGTGGTAGCACTGGAGCCTTTCCAGAAAATGAAAATCAGTCACTTCTTCGGGCAGTTCGCTGAACCGGTTCTTGGAGAGATCTGAAAAGGAAAAACGAAAATGATAAATCTATCTAAAAAATTCATACATTAATTTTTTAAGTTTAATATTTTATAGTAATTCATAATTATATTTATTCTTTCTGAGCCGTTATGCATAGTATGAAAACTAGTGTCCTGTGACAATCCAATGCATGTGCAAGCATTGCAAGCAAAAGCACAAATTTATGCAAAACATAGAAACAAGTTTATTAAACAAGTACAAATTAATTAACACGAAAAAATTAAGATAATAAAGAGTTTTAAATATTTTCTCTTCATCTTGAGGCATGCCAACGCTTACATAACTTTATGGCACCATAAAAAGCAAGGCTTTTATTGAAGGTACCTACTTTGTAGATTATCATTACTTAAGAAGGATGTTTTATTGCTCATTAACAAACACTTAACAAATCCGTTAACTTTAATTTTGTTATCTTGCAAGATTGTTGAGAAACTCGTATATAACGTCAAATTATCTCGTAGGTATAAAAAATACATATAAGCACTTCTTTTGGTACGTGTACACGGAATATTCATTATATTTTATTGTATGTTATTTCAAAACCTTTATTAAACCCACAATATGTTATTATTTTAATCTGTTTGCTATTTTTAAAGCAATTAAACTAATCAGCAGTACAACAGTTTCGTGTTTCATTCCGTTTTTTATTTTATTTAATCCAATATGGTACACTTTTCTAATCATTTAAAAAAATACAGTTATAGTTGTTTAAAAGGCATCGCTAATTTGCAATGATTGAACGGTACGCCACCAAGCAATTAAGAACCGCAATTAGGTTCAGTTAGGTTTTGACACACATTTTCCATTATAGGATTATTTCCGGTAAAATTATTATTAACAACAATAATATTTCTCCTAATTCCTAATTAATTCATATTATAATACAATTTCGTCGGTTTTGGTTCAACAGCTGATTCATTCCAAATACAGGCTTCATCACCACTGACAATACTGTATATATTTTTTGAGTTTCCTGCCTTAAAACGGTAAAATAAAATTACACTAAATCACCACAATACACCAAAACACTTTTACTTTTACACTGGACGCGCGTTTCGCTAACCATGTTAGCATCATCAGCAGATGATTATAAACTAAAGTACAATCTACAAGTTGAGCGTTTATATACTCGCCCAGTAGGTACCGAGTGGGCGTGGCAAAATCTAGCCAACCGAGTCAGAGCCAACTGAGCGTAACAGTTAATTTCCGTCACTAGAGTAGTAGGAACAAAGAACTTGAAGGAATTGGACCGATGACTCTGTTCATACTATCTTTACATTTATTAATTCTGATGCTTTCCTATGCATCTAATTGCCTGTAATTTGAGACTTGTTTAATTAATTTTAAATTATTAAGATCTATACAATGGTCTTTATCAACAAAATGTTCGGCAACGCAAGATTTATCCGGTCTACCATATCTTATCTGAGCTAAATGTTCTTAGAATCTAGTTAATATTGATCTTCTAGTTTGCCCAACATATTTCTGATTACAATCTTTACAAGAAATTTCATAAATACCCGACCTTTCCAGTGGAGGTGTTTTATCCTTTGGATTACCTAATAATTGTTGTAATTTATTATTAGCACTATACACAAGTTTATAATTGACATTCTTAAAAAATCCTTTTTGACCACGGGATAACTCTCTATCAAACGGTATTGAAAAATATTTAGACGTATCTTTCTCCACTTGAAAAGTCGAATTTTCAGAAATCATTAACCTATACCTACGTTTTCTAATTAATTTATCAACTAGTGAAGGAGAATATCCATTACACTCAGCTACATTCCTAATGTAATCTCTTTCTATTTCATATCTTTCGTTGGAAAGTGGGAAACTAAGTAATCTATGAACTAAGCCATTTTATGTTCAACACTATGATGTGATTCATTAGGAATATATCTGCGTGTGGTGGTATTTTTCCTATAGATATCAAATTCCAGGCAATTATTAGTATTTCTAATAACTAATACATCTAGAAATGGTAATCTATCGTTGTTCTCAATTTCATGCGTAAATTTAATGGAAGGAAAACGATTATTTAACTTAGAAATAAAATTATCTATGGTGTCTGAATGTGTGTCAAAAACAGCAAAAATATCATCCACATACCTAAACCATACTCTTGGAAAATACTCAAACTGATTCTTAGCCTCCACTTCAAACCTGCTCATGAATAAATTAGCCAAAAATGGAGACAATGGATTACCCATTGCTGTACCTTCCCGCTACAGTTACAAAATAAAAAACTACTTTGAAATTAAATCGACAGACATATCTACTACTGTCAAAAATGTTGTCGTCGGAAGACTAAGACTACCACAATTTAAAGAATACATACTATATATACTAGAATACATACTACATAGAATATATTTATATTCCTTAAACTGTGATACTACGTTTCTATATGCAAAATATAAAAGACAACCCTCGTACAAAATTCAATTTCTAATTCGAATTGCTGAGAACGTTATAAAAACGTGAAAAAAAATTTCACAATCCACATTTTTCATTTTTTTTTCTTGAACCTTTAGACAGGTGCACTAAAACACCTTAAGCCTCAACAACAATTAAGCCGAAACCGAAAGCGAGCCGATTTTATTCGCCGCGCCGCAGGTGGGCGGTGTGGAACCGGCTTCAAAGGATGATAAAAAGGGCCCATTTCGAGGGCTACGACATCGAATGGTAGGCGAGACGTCGCGTCGTCCGTCGTCTAGAGTCGCGGTCGGCAAAGATGAATGAACTTTATTATTCCGTCCTTCCTAAGTTTTAGAACAGTCGGTCTAGGAAACAATCATTATAGACCGTTTATTTACTCGAAATTCTAGACAGATCGAAAAGTGAGCAGTTTGTTTGATAGATGGTTTGGGGTTTCACCCCAGCTAGTTAAACAAAAGCACCCTAAATATGAGTATTTGGTTTAGTTCTGTTAAACCCTTATGTTCTCTTCTTTTCTGCAGTGATGGATAAATACGATTGTTTAAGTGATATTTTCAAAAGTCAATAGCTCGGGAACGGTTGGTTTGAGGTGTACCTCAAACCTCAAACACAATGTGTATCTCGATTTTTGCTTAGAATTGAAAGAAGAATTGAAATATGCAATAATATACAGGGGGTTCCATTTAAAAAATGAAACTTTGATGTGCTACGACTTTATGACCGACCCTGTATAGTTAAATTTATTACCCGCTAATAGATATTTAAAACCCCATATTAACATACATATCAGCGACCCTGTATATTGATAATTAGCTTAACCAAGACAAAATATAAGCCTATACCGTATGATCGAATAAAAACGGCGTCAGCGAAGGCTATGAAATGAGGATCGCTGTCATTTTACATGTAAATTTATATGGGAAATGTATTAATATCGATTGTCATTTCATAGCCATCGCTGACGCCGTTTTTATTCGATCATAGGGTATTAACTCAGTAAGAAATAAAATCAATATTAAAATCGATTTTTAAGCCTGCACGAAGCTGTAGTTTTTCGGACCACATATGGTTTCGCACATTCAGAAAGGGGGCAAAAACATCCCCTTGTAACATCTGGCAATGACATATTTTTAATCGATAGAAGACATGGGTTGTGAGGGCACGCGTAGGAAAGTTTTGCGGGGTGGCACCACTTTTTACCCTAATCCAAAGTGCCGGCACCCCTCATTTTCAGCGAAAAGCAGGAAACAATATATCTCCTTTAACGCGAATTTCGGAAATTTTAACCGGCAAATACTGTAACTTAATACATAAAACAGTAGCATCAGTTTCGCACTGATACAATCAATACATACATATATGTAGTATTGATTTTTTAAATTTTTCGTGGTTTGTTTAAAGCCAAAACATAATGTACTGAGGCTCTAATTTGGGTGAGAATACATCAGTTTTATTCCTATTTAAAGTATTTTGAGTATAATAGGTAGTTTATGTTATCAACTCCTTGCTGGACAGGATCTACTTTGTTTACGCGGTGTCCGAACCGCGGTCTTCAGCCATATTACAGCCTGCTGACTAAACGAGTTTCTAAATCTCATCAAATTATCAATAAAAAATGCGATCTCATCCGATCTCTAACCGGCATGAATGAGATTAATTCATGTCTCAATTTCCACTAGATTTTACACATTTGTCTTGGAACAATGGAGATTCCCAGATATCCTAAAACCGGTGTTTTATATTATTGACACATTCTCATTACCCAAGAATTTTTTATTGAAATAAAATAGAATCAAATAGGTTAAAAAGGCCAATTTCTTTATTGTTTATGCTGGCTTTATTTTATGCAACAAAGTAACAAGCTCTACTTCATAATTTCTGAAATTAATTTACATGAAAAGCATGCAACTCAAGTCAGATAATAAAGTACCTAGCAACATCGGAAGTGAAATTTGATATCTTAACTTTTCTATACCTAATTGTTGCCTAACAATAATTACACGGTAATTATCCAGTTAGGTTTAGGTTAATAAGGGGAAATCAGGTAAATAAGTCAGTAATTGTAAACTGTGTATGTACTAAGAGCATACTATCTAATTTAGTTAAAAAAAACATGAAAATAGTATGTCGATTATTACATGGAATTTTTTTTACTAAAAATTAATTAGATAGTTAAAATGTTTCAATTTCAATCGAGCTACCTCTGTACAAAAAAACTTCTTTGTCAATGCCCTCTCTCCAGCTCTTGTGTGGTCTTCTTTTTTCCTCTTAATCTTGGAGGTGCCCATTTAATACTTTCTTTGGAATTCGATATTCTTCCATTCTTTGTACGTGTCTATACCATATTAATCCTTGGTTTCTGATGTCTACATTGTCGTGTTTCATTTCCATTTAGCGGCTTATCATTTCATTTGGTATTTTATCTTTCCTGGATTTTCCACTCTTCTCCAAAACTCCATCTCCGTGGCGTTTAGCGTTCTTTCAGCTTACTCTTTCAAGGGCCATACAATGAAATCATTGAAAAAAAACATAA